CCGATTATTTGGACGCGATTTTGTGGTGTGCGCGTGACCTTGGAAGATTGAACAGCGTGTGCGAGTGGCTGTGTAAATTTCCACACTCAATTCGCATTGTTCGCTTGATTGTTCACTTGGACGCATTGTATTTTTTTCTCAGCTCGCATATTCAGGCCCCCGCACACCATCGTTTCATCGTTTCATCACTTCATCGTTTCATCGTTTGTAAAAATCGTCTGGTGTGCGGTGGGCTTAAGACAAAAATTTTAAAAAGTTAAAAAGTTAAAAAAAAATTGTAAAAGTCAAAATTCAATCATCACTAATAGCAAAAGCAGTTCAGTCCTTTGTTAACAGTCAACAAATCCATGTTTAACCCTCCTCTTAAGGGTCAAAAGGTTATCAGACACTTACTCTTCGCACGTCAGCGGAAAGTAGATTTCATTCCCCGACGTCCCGAATATCAAGATCGTACGTCGAGCGGTTAAGATTTGTGCCCAACTGTTGACGGACGGACGGACGGACAGACGGACGGATGGACGGACAATCATGCAATTCTACAAGCTGCATCTGACTTCGTCAGCTGAGCTAAAAACTAACTAGCTCAGTAATCTAAGTAAATAAACCAAGCAGTGATATAGCTAGCTGCCAAAATCGGCAAAACTAAACTCTGCAAATAAACTAGTAACCAGTAATAACTATAACCAGTAATCAAGTAAAATGAGAAAATAACTAACCATGGATAACTAGCTCAGTACACAAAGCAATAAACTAACTAGGTTAACCAAGCAAATAATCTAACCACCAAAAGCTTACTATAGTTTAACCAAGCAAATAATCTAACCATCAAAAGCTTACTAGTTTAACCAAGCAAATAAACTAGCCATCAAAAACTTACTCGGTTAACCAACATGACCAAGCAAATAATCTAACCATCAATAACTAACTAGGTTAACCAAGCAAATAATCTAGCCATCAATAACTAACGCGATGAGCCCAACGTGTTGAAACGCACCAGTAGATCAGGCTCACACTTTGCGAGTGCCGTCACGTGACGCGCGTCGCACGTCTGCTCGCACGTGACGTTGGTCTCGAGCCGCGCCCAGCACGCCGCCGTCGCGTTGTCGCACGCCACGTCGCACCCGGCCGCCGCCGCGTCTCACCTACAGGTGAGATATATACACAGAGATGTGAGACAGCAGCACCTACAGGTGAGATATACATACACAGAGATGTGAGACAGCAGCACCTACAGATGAGATATACATGCAGAGATGTGAGACAGCAGCACCTACAGATGAGATATACATGCAGAGATGTGAGACAGCAGCACCTACAGATGAGATATACACGCAGAGACGTGAGACAGCAACACCTACAGGTGAGATATACACACAGAGATGTGAGACAGTATACACACCCAACACCTACATACAACATGGGCTGAGAAATCATTCATCACGGGCATGAGAAATGGTAAAAAAAAACCTTTGGCAAGAGAAATCACAAGTTCCTGGCACGAGAGAACATACAAATTTCTAGTGCGAGAAATCATAAAAATCCATGGCACAGGAAATCTTTAAAAAACCCTGGCACAAGAAATTGTAACAATCCCGGAATATAATAAGGGTGTTGTATATATTCCAGCAACAAACAATGACTATAGAATGACCTAATAACAATTCAGCTCATGAATACTGACTGTGCTTTACAATATTGCATGTAGCACACAAAGAAATCATAAATTTAAATCCAAATTCCCAAACTGATTTCAAATTTTCAATTACCCTTCCAATTACCCTTTCAATTACCCAAAACAACTCTTCCTGATTTCAAATTTATGATATATACATAAATTATTAATAATGATCTATATTTGATTGATAACCAAATTATAAATAATTACATAAAAACTTTATATAATAAACATTATAATATAAAATTAAATTAAATCAATTGAAAAATGATCGAATAACAAAGTAATCATTAATCGAATAACAACTGAATCAAAATATGATTAAAATCCATCTAATATCTGATAACAGATTAAATACAAAAGTAAATATTAACATAAAACAATCAATAACAAATTTCCCGCGAGCCCTTTGGTAGCAGTCTTTGCGTACCTGTAGGCATGACGACGCACGCAGGCACTCGTCTTCTGTCTGGCAGACGCTCATGTACGCGGCCTCGCACTCTCCCCACGCCGCCGCACACGCATCCTCACACGCCGCCGCCCCGGTCACGCACGCTGTCTCGTTTCGTGCGGCATCGCTCTCGCAGTCGACCATGCAGCGCTCTCTAGCGATGGAGGCGTCTGATGGACAGATTCGGTAGTGAGGCTGGCAGGAGTCGACGCAGCTGTTGTACTCCTCCAGACAGGTGGCGTTGCCGTCACAGCTCGGGTAGAGTGTGTCGCAGATGCCATGACACTCCTGCCGGGAGTCGCCGAGAATGACATCATGATCATAATCACTGTCATCATCGCAGCACATTCATATAGTTACATAACCATGTCAAGACAAGATGTAGATATGTCGATGATACAATCAGGAGTAAATAATTAATAAGAATATATATATATATCTTATTCCATTCCTTTATAAACTAACCAATAATAACTGCCAAGTAACCACGTATAATATGTGAATAAACTAACCATTAAACGAATAAACTAAATAGAACATAAAAAACTAATTAACTCAGTAAATAACCAAGGAAAATTAATAAAGCAGTGATAATATAACTAAACAGTAATAAAGTAAGCTAAGCAAATAAACTAACCATAAACAAGTGCCGCAGAGCAACAGCGCTCAACTGGCGTGTACTGTAGCCAGGTATTCTTCTGATTAACTCACTGGCAACCGAATCAATTAAGTGCGTCCTCCTGCCACCGCATTCGCGCTCAGAGCATATATCTAGGATACTACTAATACAGATCTAAAATCTATGATAGGCATTGCTATACCTACTGGTATAGTCTATCTATACTATAATGAGGCTAATCTTGTGTGTCAGTGTGTGTGTGTGTGTG